AAATAAGGTCCAAAGTAAATCAGTGTACTGCATGATTACAGAAACCTGTATACAATTTTTGTTTTATTTAATAATCATGTTGTTAAACTTTTACTGGACTTATTGAATGTAAGGGAATAGTATTTTTTTTTCTTCTTTCTCAGAAATATCACTATTGTCACAATTCTTAAATTTCAATACTACTTGCATACACAACTTCACTAGAGTGAAAATTTACCTTACAAATTCTTTCATTAGCCCACAAAGCTCTTCTTCAGTTAGGTTTGACACCAGAAATTTCTTCTGTAGTTCTTTATTGGGAATGTTGGAAAGCCTTCCTGCTGAGCTGGACACATTCACAACCCTGTATAAAAAGAAAAATGTAATTAATTAATAGCAGTAAACACAGACATGTGTTTCTTCTAATCACACAAACATTCTTCTTTAAATCGGTGTCATCAGTTAATCATTAGTGCAGTCATCATTTCAAATCCTTCTCAATTTCATAACTGGGAATTAATAGTATAGCCAATATACAGTATTCACAAGAAAATATGTAATGTCGAATGTGTCTAAACTGAAACAATTATGTTTTAAAACAGCAGTTGTTAATATACCATAAAAAACATGAAATAGGAGTTACCTAATATTTTATTCTTTGGGTGACAAATTTTTTTCCTTATATTTACATTTTGATACTTGAGCAATAAAATAAAACTATATGTTGTTTTGAAATAGAAAAGGAACCTTTCTAATAGAAGAGTAAATATTAAGCTTTATAAGAAGAAAAGAACAAAACACTCATGCAAGAAAAGTAACAGCTACTTCATAAAATGTTCAGGATTTAATCAATCATTCATAATTTCAATGTAACTTTCCCATTACCCATGATGAATCTGCCACTTTTGTATTTAATGTAGTGTATTCTTCTAGGTCTTCTGATGAACATGAAACTCAACATAAACATCTATGTAAGTCTGAACAAAGTATGCTACTGTTAATATTCATATTATCAGCAGACATTGAAATATCAATGCTTCTTGTCTAGCTTTTACACTCCTAGTAAAATATGACTGCCACAAAATACAAATATATAAAGTTAACAGTACATGCTTTCTTTTAACTATTAAAAGGTTTTTTCAATATTGTTGTTCCATACACGTCTTATTTTACAAACGATTGTATTGTATTGTTTTCTTCCTTAACACCAAATAATAACTGTTTTTTAATCTTCTTGAATATGGTATGGTGCTGGTTCATTCTTAAGTGTTAGATTTTTTCAAAACTTAAAATAACTTACAAGACAAAAAGCCACAGATTTCAATAACCTTTAAAAATACATCATACGGTACTATTATATGATCTTTACCTTGCATGTGGTCTTAATATTGGAAACAATGCCTTACAAACATTCAGTGTTCCAAAGAAGTTTGTATTTATACTATTTTCTGCTTGTTCTGCATCAGGTGTTGTAGATGCCATCTATAAAAATATAAAAAAACATATATATACAAATACACTTCTTTAATACAGAGAACCTTACATAAGACTTAATATTACAGAATATCTATGCACTCAACCAACAAAACTTTAATATCTGTAAAATTATAGACTGGAATAATGAACTTAACTTTTTAAAGCTAAAGCAAAGGATGTACTTTGGTGTACTTTGGTGACAGATATTCTTGTAGGCAGATTTTGTTGAAAAAGACCAATGTCTGTAGGTTTACTTTCTTCTTCTTAGAAATCTTCTCAAGAAGTTAATAAGCCGTTTCTAATAACGTTAAAACAGCTTATCGACTTCTTGAGAAGATTTCTAAGAAAGTAAACCTACAGACATCGGTCTTTTTCAACAAAATCTGCATATATATATATATATATACACACACACATATATGGCAGAGAGCGAGAGAGTTAAAAGCATAATATAACAATACAATAAAGGACTACAAGTTCTTTAATGGTCTATTAAATTTT